ATTTTAATAAATTTAATTTTAAAAAATAAAATATCTTATTTTTAAAATATGAATTAAAGCATTTTTTGTTATTTTTTATTATATATTTTTTGAAATTATGTAGGTTTAGAGTAATTTTTTTTTAATTTTTGAGAGATAAAACAGATAAATATTAATTTTATATCATTAAAAAAAGTTGACAATTTTTTTTTTGTGTTTTTTTGCTTTTTTGGTAAATTTTTTCTTGAGCATTACAGTCTTATATTTTGAATACAATTACTTATGTTATTGAAAATAATTATTGTATAATTAATTATAAAACTAAAGTAATTAATTATATAAACTAAAATAATTAATTATGCATACTCTTTAAATTTAAAATAATTGATTATAAAATTAAAATAATTAATTATAAATATTCACAAACTCAAGAAAATTTTCTTTTCATGTTTTCAATCAAGAGGAAGAGTCTGACCTTAGGCCTGATTCTTTTTTCCCCTGGAAAGCAAAATTTCTTAATAAAACTTACAATAAAAAAATACCAAACATAAAAATCTTTTTTTCTTCGAATTAAACTCTCTAAGCATTTTCTAAGATTGTTGAAGATACCGAACAGGCTCTACAATTTTCTTTTCTATTTCCAAAAAAAAAAAAAAAAAACCCCATAAACTAGAGGGGCATACCAGTTGTCATATTACAACTCAATTAGGCTTTAGAGCATAACAGTTTGTCATCATAATTTACAGGAAAGCGACAAATAGAACAGTTAGTGTAATTTCATATAAAAAAAAAAAAAGAAAAAAAAAAAGAGGAATAGTTAGTGTAATATGAAATGAATAAAGACGTTAAATTGTGCTTGCGGGGATCCGAAAATTAGTTTTATCTTCACCCCTTAAGCTGTTTTAATGGTAATTTCGTTTTAATAAAAATGAGCGATTTTAAATTTGAGTTATATACTAATAAAATGAATTAAAAAATGAGAAAATTTATGGTAAATTTATAATAAAAATTAAATATTTTAAATTTGAGTTATATATATATTTGTACTAATCTTTTGGTATTCAGAAATCACATTAAATCATAATTAATCTGAAATCGAGTTAAGTTAGATTTCATTTGAGAAAACTCTTTTAATGTTTGTTTTTACATTTGTAAGACTCAAATTCGATATTTTGTTTAAGAGGAATCAAATTCCTTCTACTTTAATCAACATATTTTTTTTTATTAAATTTGAGTTATTTAAAAATAAAATAAATTAAAAAATAAAAAATAATTATTTTTTATCATACAATTTAAATTTTATAAAAACAAAAAAAAAAAAGAAAAAAAGTACTCAGCAAGAAGTCTGCCGCACACAGCACATGCAGCCATTTAAATTTCTGCATGACTAACGGACAAAGCCAGTCCTTTTGTATCCACCTTCGTCATTCTTTTCCCCTTTTCGGGGTTGAATTTGGAAGTTTTCTCCTCTCAATCATCATTGTATCTAGA